ACGTAAACCAATTAATTTACACGTATCGTGGGATTTTTTTAGCAAAGACATGTCGCAGAATGCATTTTGGCAGAAATTTATGACTAAATTTGATTTTTTTAAATTTTTTTTTACTGGACATGTTTTATAGCAAAAAGTCCAAAATATTGTTTTTTTTTTCCTCAAAATCGTCAGCCTTTTTTTTTATAGCGCAAAAAATAAAAACTGCACAGGCGATCAAATACCACCGAAAGAAAGCTCAATTTGTGGGAAAAAAAGGATGTAAATTTCATTTATGTACCGTATTGCATGACCGCGCAATTGTCCGTTAAACTAGCGAAGCGCTGTATAGCAAAAAAATGGCGTAAATTGCAGTATCTATACCAGCAAAGGGCAAACTACGGCCCGCGGGCCGTATACGATCCGGCGGACCTTTTAATCCGGCCCGCGGAGCGTGGCAAACATTGGCTGTCAGGATATAGGCGGGGCAGCGTGACGAACATGAGGGGAGCTAGGCTCCTCTCACAGTCCGCCCTGAAGACCGGAACGGTGCGGGAACACAGCGAGAGGAACGCGCGGAGCAAAGGTAAGTGAATTGACACAATATGGGGAATGAATTACTATAGGGGGGATGAATTACTATATGGGGGATGAATTACTATGGGGGATGAATTACTATGGGGGATGAATTACTATATGGGGGATGAATTACTATAGGGGGGATGAATTACTATATGGGGGATGAATTACTATGGGGGATGAATTACTATGGGGGATGAATTACTATATGGGGGATTAATTACTATAGGGGGGATGAATTACTATATGGGGGATGAATTACTATGGGGGATGAATTACTATGGGTCCGGCCCTCGGGTCCAATATATGAACCCATTGCGGCCCTCAAGTCAAAAAGTTTGCCCACCCCTGATCTATACCATAGTTTGTAGACGCTATAACTTCCACACAAAGCAATCAATATACACTTATTGGGATTTTTTTTTTTTTACCAAAAACATGGAGCAGAATACATTTTGGCCTAACTTTATAACCAACTTTGAGTTTACTATATATTTTTTATAGCTGAAAGTAAAAAATATTGTTTTTCTTTCAAAATATTTGGCCTTTTTTTGTTTATAGCGTGAAAAATAAAAAGCGCACAGGTGATCAAATACCACCGAAAGAAAGCTCTATTTGTGTGAAAAAAGGACGTAAATTTAGTTTGGGTTCAGCATTGCATGACCGCGCAATTATCAGTTGAATTAGTGCAGCGCCGAGTAGCAAAAAGAGGCCTGGTCATTAAGGGGGGTAAATCCTCTGGAGGTCAAGTGGTTAAAAATACATTTCAAATATACTGTATGTCTTTAAAAATACAAATTTACATTTTTGGAATTAATTCACAAATATATGTAAAAATATATGTTAAATTGACTTTTTTATATGTTAATAAAATCTGAAGAATATATTTTAAAAATTGGGAAGAATATTTTTAAAATATATTTCAAACATATTTTTCTTCCATATGGGCAGAGCCTCTAGAAACATATACACATGTTCCCGTCATCATCACTGATTACTCTCTCTTCATATAAAGTTTCTCAACTTACAGCAGAATTGGGAGTGTATCTCAGAAAGCGAACAACCTTAGAGTCTGAAGCCGGGCAGGCTAAAGCCATATATCGATTGCGGAAGGTCCCATAGATTTTCAGGTGAAATCCTGGCTTGTTTAAGGTATCCTTTCCACCACTGGCAACATCGATTCCATAGGCTGACAAATCAAAATGTAGATTGTGGGCTCGGATCTCTGGAGTTGGCACCTGTGTTGAATGAACATCAAAATGGATTTAATTTACAAACGTCAAATACTTTTAACTTTTTGCTCTGTAAACATAGACAGCAAAGCAGTTACAGCGACTGTAAAGCTTGTGTTTTTTTTTTTCTAATTAAAATAACAAATATGTTATACTTGGTCTGTGCAATGGTTTTAGAGCAAACTATATGGAGCAAAGCATCATAGGAATTTGTTATTCATTTGTAAATCAGCGATTTTAAACACAAAATATTGAATTTAGTCACTAGATGGAGCAAAGCATCAAAGACATTTCCTATAATACCTACCTCCATCAAGTGGCCAAATGCAGTATTTTCCATTGAATGATTTACAATTGAGCACAGAATATACAGTAGAGCCCAATTACATTATTTTTTGTTTGTCCCTGGCCACCCATGTGAATGAACCACTGCAGAGAAAGTGATGTAACCCTCCTGGCTCTGCTGTCTGGCAGGAGTGTGTGTATCAGAAAAGCGGATGGGCAGAATACCAAATCATTTGGCAGATATGCATATGTGTCATTAAATGATGTATTTAGCTGTTTTACTGGAGTCCAGCCTTAACCACTTCCATCCCGGCCGCCATTTTCCAGGAAAACAGCTAAATACACCATTTAAAGTGTTACTAAACCCAGGACCCTGCATTCACTATATCTGGTCCCCCACAGTAGACACAACATGGAAATGCAATTATTTTAGTAAATATAAACTGCTAAATACCTTTTCTCATCAGTAGTCTTGTGACTTCTATCAGTGTCCAGCCCAGCACTAGCTAAAGCTTGCAGGAGGAGTTTTCTTTCTGCTCTAGGAGGATGAAAATCCCCTAACCTCTGTCTGGACAGTGCTGATTGGCCTGAGCTAATCACATGCACTCTCTCAAGAAAACAAAAAATCCTCTCTAGCAATACACACCAAACTGAGCATGTGCATGCCTACGGTTCAATCTGGAGATATGAGGTGGTCACTTGAAAAGGGGGATGAACAGAGAAGAAATGATCAAACCGCCTTTTTACACAGTGCAGAGGATTAACCCCTTAGGTTCCACAGTGAGTATATCAAGCATGCTTTACTGCATATACAGACTGAATTTACTGTTGTGGGTTTAGTAATGCATTCTATCATATCTGCCAAATGATTTGTTATTTTGTCCAGCCACTTTTCTGTGATGCCAGACTTTCATCATTCTGGGTGGTGAGCTGATATAAAAATTCTGGACCAAAACCAAAAATTCAGGATGCACTTGGCTGAAAACCAAAACCGAAATGAACCGTTTTTTTTAATGTATTTTTTATATATAATTATACAATATTCGACTTTTTAAATAATAATATGAATTTAAAAAATACAGTCCAGTAATGTAAAATAACTTCTATTGAAAGTAACACAAAAATAACATGAAACATGTATAAAATTAAAAAACTTAAATAGAGGCGGTTTTTGCATTGAAGTCAATGGGACATGATTTTGCATTGAAGTCCATAGGGGGCGTTTTTTGCATTTAATTCAGTGCAGCGCAATTTTGCATTGAAGTCAATGGGACATAATTTTGCATTGAAGTCAGTTATCATTGTGGGCACATTTTTTTTTCCGTGGATGTCATATTACATACTCCCGCAACACGGCTGCGCTGCTGGAGCTCTCTGTCACCAGCTGTGTCAACCAGACACAGCTCGTCACAGATCACTGTACTGGCCCGCTGCTGATATCATGTGATTGCTGAGACCAATCACAGCAGATCACATGACAATTGTAAACAATGAATGGCTTTGATTCTTGCCATTCATTATGCACAATTGTGTTGCTCGCTGTGATTGGTCACAGTGATCACATGGTGCAGACAGGGCCAATCACAGCCCATCTGTACCATGTGATTAGCTGTGGCCAATCACAGCTAATCACAAACTGTAAACACTAAATGAGTCTATTTCATTCAGTTTAACTTTTTTTTTCAGTGTCTTCACTTTCCAAAAAATTATGATAAAAAAATTACAACTTCAAAAAACTTGACATGCCTCTTACTAAATGACTGCCAACTTTCCAAAAAATGAGTAATTTGGGGGGATATCTGTACTGCCCTAAACATTTTCGGGTCATCAGTACATCAGGATTGATTTTCAGATATATCCCATAGTTTGTGAACTCTATAACTTTACTACAGACTACATAATAAATACTGATTTGGGTTATTTTCACCAAAGAAATGGAGCAGAATACATTTTGGCCTAAATTTATGAAGAACAATTATTTATTTGATAAATTTATATAACAGAAACTAAGAAAAACTAATTTATTTTCAAAATGTTCGGTCTTTTTTTCGTTTGTATAGCAAAATCCAGTGGTGATTACACACAACCTAAAGAAAACTCTATTTGTGTGAAAAAAATGATAAAAATTTCATTTGGGCACAGTGTTGGATGACCGCGCAATTGTTATTCAAAGTGCAACAGTGCTGAAAGCTGAAAATTGGCCTGGGCAGGAAGGGGGTGAAAGTGCCCGGTATTGAAGTGCTTAAACTAATTCTCTCCATCATTTAAAATAAAAGAAATAAGTGATTAAATCCGCCAATAATGATGTGATGACAAGCAATTATACTGGCAGCACATTTGAATATTTATAAGAGGAAAAGTGATGTTTCTCATTATGTTTGCAGATGTCTAATTTCCTCTGGTGCAGTGATCTTTCTTTTAATGAAACGTTTATTATAGTAAGTGCATAAAAGACACATGCCCAGTTATTCATACACTGTAAATATTTAACTGACTATACAGGAAAAAAAAACCCACCAGAAAGTAAATAGAAGATCCCAAACAAATCATAAGAACATTTCCTGCCTGGTCCCTTAAAGCTGAACTCCAGGGATGGAAAAATTTATTTTACCACTTGCCAACCGTGCTATAGCCAATGATGGCTACAGCGCGGTTGTCCAGTTCTGGGAGGGGGGGTCATATGGCGTCCTCCCAGAACGCTGGCGGTGATCGCTGTGTCCTATGGACACAGCTGATCACATGATGAGGTAAAAGGCCAATCACAGTGGCCTTTTACCACGTGATCAGCTGTGTCCAATGACACAGCAGATCACGGAGTAAATATAGTTGTCGGTTATCAGCTGCACTGTCACAGCGTGAGGAAAGTACTGCCGATAACGATCAACTGTCACAGAGGACATCTGCACTGATCATCAGGGCACTGATGATCAGTGCCCAGCAGTGCCACCCAGCAGTGTCCATCAGTGCCTCCCACCAGTGCCCATCAGTACCTCCCACCAGTGCCACCCAGCAGTTGCGCCCATCAGTGTCCAGTAGTGTCACCCATCAGTGCCCAAAAGTGCCACCAGTCATTGCCTGTCAGTCAGTGCCACCAGTCAGTGCTGTCCATCAATGCCCATCAGTGCCACCTATCAGTGCCCATCAATGTCGCCTAATAGTGCCGCCTATCAGTGCCTCCTCATCGCTGCTTATCAGTGCAGCATCATCAGTGCCTCCTCATCACTGCCCACCAGTGCCGCCTCATCAGTGCAGCCTATTAGTGCCCATCAGTGCTGCCTATCCATGCCACCTCATCAGTGCCCATCAGTGCTGTCTATCCGTGCCACCTCATTAGCGCCCATCAGTGCTGTCTATCCGTGCCACCTCATCAGCGCCCATCAGTGCTGTCTATCAGCGCCCATAAGTAATGCCTATCAGTGCCACCTCATCAGCGCCCATCAGTGCTGTCTATCAGCGCCCATAAGTAATGCCTATCAGTGCCACCTCATCAGCGCCCATCAGTGCTGTCTATCAGCGCCCATAAGTAATGCCTATCAGTGCCACCTCATCAGCGCCCATCAGTGCTGTCTATCAGCGCCCATAAGTAATGCCTATCAGTGCCACCTCATCAGCGCCCATCAGTGCTGTCTATCAGCGCCCATAAGTAATGCCTATTAGTGCAGCCTCATTAACGCACATCAGTGAAGTCAGATATATCCCATAGTTTGTGAACTCTATAACTTTCCTACAGACTAAATAATAAACATTGATTTGGGTAATTTTCACCAAAGAAATGGAGCAGAATACATCTTGGCCTACATTTATGAAGAACAATTATTTATTTGCTACATTTTTTTTAAAACAAAAACCAAGAAAAACTAACTTATTTTCAAAATTTTCAGGCTTTTTTTTCGTTTATATAGCAACATCCAGTGATAATTAAATACCACCTAAAGAAAGCTCTATTTGTGTGAAAAAAATGATAAAAATTTCATATGGGAAGAATATTGCATGACTGCGAAATTGTCATTCAAAGCGTGAGAGCGCTGAAAGCTGAAAATTGGCCTGGGCAGGAAGGGGGTATAAGTGCGCAGTAGGCAAGTGGTTAATATAGTCCTCATAGCAAAATAGGATATAAATCCACTGTGTGAGCACTAAATTCCTTTTGCAAACCCAGTTATTATCTTGTAAACGTAGCAGTGACATCATCCCTGTGCTGCACATAGCCTGTGCAGAAAGCAGAGCAGTGGGAGGGGCCAAGCAGGTCCTGCCCTCTACAGGCTGCCTGCAGAAAACTACAGAATGGGGCGGGAGACAAGACCAGCCACTCTGTACAAGGAGAGAGAGCAGCAGTGAGCGGTCTTTATACAGGAAGCTCTGCGCAGAGGGGAAGTATCATGCTGGATTACTGCACAGATCTGGAAGAAATACACAAAGCACGCCAAGTGAAAGCACATATCCTGGCCTATGAACTGAGTCGGGGTCCGGGATGATGTAAGTTCTGTGTACATTATTATTATTATTACACAGTATTTATATAGCGCCAACAGTTTGCTCAGCGCTGTACTATACAATGGGAGACAATACACGAGACAGTACAGTAACAATACAATAAAATACACGAGGGATTCGAGGGCCCTGCTCCTTGGAGCTTACAATCTAGGAGGGAGGGGATAGTGGTACAGGAGGAAATAGCTGTGGGGGATGGAGTGGTGGGGGGAGCGGAGCAGATCAGCAGTTAGGTGAGGGTGGGGTAGGCTTCTCTGAATAGATGGGTTTTCAGGGTGCGCCTAAAGGTGAGGAGGGTAGGTGACAGTCTGATGGATTGGGGTAGTGAGTTCCAGAGGATGGGGGAAGCCCTGGAGAAGTCCTGGAGGCGGGCATGGGAGGAGGAGACAAGGGAACTAGAGAGTAGGAGGTCTTGTGAGGAGCGGAGAGTACGTTTTGGGTGGTAGATGGATATCAGGTCGGTGATGTAGTTTGGGGCAGTGTTATGAACAGCTTTGTACATCAGTGTTAGCATTTTGAATTTTATGCGTTGGGCAATCGGAAGCCAGTGGAGGGATTGGCAGAGGGGGGGAGGCGGATACGGAGCGGTTGGTAAGGTGGATGAGTCTGGCCACAGAATACATGAGCCAGAGGTACATCATTAGTTGCCACCCACTGACCAAAAAAGATGATGGAGGACCCAGAAGAAGCTGCGGAGGAGATGGCGGTGATGCAAGACAGAGCGACAACTGACAGCCTACATCGGTCAGTACTGCAGTAGAGAACCTTTGTAGGTAAATATGCCATAATGTGCAAGTATGCCAACCTCCAAAGGACTTACACTCCATTTTAACCACTAAATAAAGGATCCAATGCTAAACAAATTACTGTATTTTTTTCTAATTTTAGACAAAACCTTTATTTTGCAAACAAACATTTCACAACTAATCCATCCTTGATGACAAGGTGCCATCAAACGATTAGGCAGTGCTGTGTGTTTTATTTGGAAAGCCCAGCTAGCTCTACTTCTTAAGGGATCTATTTAGAAAACAGTCGTTATACGAATGTCACACATATCGGTTCAGGCTGCACGAATTTTGGCCTTCAGTTCTGTAATAGTTTGATTCCTATGATATTATACTAGGGACAATTTAGACAGGAGCCAATTAACCTACCAGCATGTCTTTGGAGTGTGGGAGGAAACTGGAGTACCTGGAGGAAACCCACACAGGCACAGGGAGAACATGCAAACTCCAGACAGGTGATGCCATGGTTGGGATTCAAACCAACAACCTGAGTACTGCCAGGCAGAAGTGCTAACCATTTATCTACTGTGCTGCCCAATAGAGGGTAAATGTTCCAATGTGGACACTAAGTCTGGTGACTTGGGGGTCCCATAGGGATTCCCTTAATTTGGTGGGATTTCCTCTCACTTCAAGTTTTGGCTATGACACAGGAGGTGAAGGGAATTCTCCCCAATGGGACACAGCTGGAAAAAATAAACTGACAGGGGGTATAATCCTTACTTTATCCAAAATGAAAAAAAAAAAATAGGTTTACTTTAACAGCCCAAAATTTGTGCAGCCGGTACAAATGTTTGTGACATTTGTCATAGGAAAGTTTTCTAAATAGACCCCTTAGGCAGCAGGGCTGGCTGGGCTTTCCAAATTAAACAAACAGCACTATCTAATGATTTTTTTTTCCATAATAAATTTTTATTTGGTTTTATAAATATAGTTACAACAACAAAAAAACAAAACAAAAATAGGACAGCGGAAAGCTACACAATATCACAGTATAGGTGTTGCAGTAAAGTTTAACAAATATTGAATAATTCCTAACAGTCCTACTAGTTCCACAAAATAATAATTTTAGAATATCCAAAAAAAGGTTAAACATAATAATATGTTAGGTTACAGTTCTGAACCAGTCGGATCACGGTTTCCAAGCTTTGTCAAATTTAGTAATTCTATCGGTTAGGTAAGCTAAATATTTCTCATAGACAGGGGCGGACTGACCATTTGGAAACTCGGGCACTGCCCGAGGGCCCGGGGTCAGTAGGGGGCCCCATGAGATGCCCCTGGTACCTTTTTCATAGGCTTTTTTGAGTATGGGCAAAGACACAGGGGCCCCATGATCCCCTATTGCCCGGGGGCCCCATGAGTTGTCAGTCCACCCCTGCTCATAGATGAAGTGGGTCTGGACTAGCTCAATGACTTGTTGTAGAGAAGGGACTAATGCACGCCATAGATGGGTCGGAAATCAGCTGATTTTCGCACCGTTAGTGGGTTAATTGGTCGGTCGTTTTTCGGGGTTTTGGCACATTTTTTTATCGGTAAAATTGGAAAAAAAAAATTAGCCGATTTTGGCGATTGGCCGATTTTCCCGACAATGACGGGAAATTCAGCAGATTGTTTTTACCGATAAAAAATCTGCGCATGAGCCATGACCTGCAAGAATAAGAAAAAGAAGAAGAAGAATTCCAGTCCGCTATTATATTTTATATGAAAAGTCTTGAGTTGCAACAATGTATCTATTTGTATCTGAATAAAAACATCTGTATCCGAAATGGATACAAATGGATACATTGTTGCAACCGCAATATTTTTTCGTGTCAAATATAATAGCAGAGCTCTCTGCAGGGATAGAAGTAATTAAATGCCAGCCGTAGATAGGGCGAAAATCGGCCGATTTTTTTTTTACCATTGGTGGTAACGTCGGCCGATCGGATGACCGATTTTTCATTTTTTTTTTATTAAAAAAACGGCTGGTTTTCGACCCATCTATGGCCTGCATAAGTCTTTTTTCCAGTGTCTAGTAATGGTAAGTCTTGATACTAGAAGAATATGTGCCACTAAGAATCGATAATGGATTGGATATGTATCTATATTTATATTCAAAATGGCTAGGGTAACTATCTAATGTTTTGATGGCACCTTGTGTATAAAGTTGTCTACATATACAAAAAAACAATTAACCAAGCACATTAAAAAGGATAATGGTGCTGCGCCCTTAAATTAGAACCGTGAATAAATAAATAAAATCAATTTTTAACAAATAATAATTCTATAATTTATAAATAATTACCCTTAATTTCTCCAAATATAAAAAATATATAAAATGTGCAACTCATTAATATATGTGGCTTCGTCCGGGGGATATCATATCCCCCGGACGAAGCCACGTGACCCTGTGGCGCAACTCGTTGGGGAGGGGCATAGACGTCACCCACGTACCCGGACTCTGATGCACGGCGAGTACAGGCAGTGTGAGTCCACACGCTACTCAGGCTGCACATATCTTATACAGAAAGCGCTTTGATGTTTTTAAACTTGTAAGTGCAAAATTGGCACCAATAAATTTTTATGCTCATCAAAGATAAGGCACTATTCCTTTCTCTTTTTTCTCTGGCGATACGCTGAGTAATAGGGAGAAAATATACAATAACTCTTGGAGGGAAGACCTTACCCAGGATCCATTCACAGCAGAACAATAGCAGCAAAGAGGAGAATCATTCAGTTTTCTACTAATAGAAGAATACACCAAGTAACTCATTTCATCCTGAGAAGTTTTATTTTGGAAATCATGTGAACAGTCCATTTGCAATATATAGTCCCACTTAGATGGGATTTAATATGTGATGGGATTTTCAACTCTATTGAACATTTTATGAATTATTCATTTTAAATTTATTTATTTTTATTAATTAATATTGATTATTTTTATCAATTAATATCAATTATTTTTTTAGATTATTTATTTATTTAATTTTTTTTTTTTTATGTATATTAATGAGTTGCACATTTTATATATTTTTATATTTGGAGAAATAAGGGTAATTATTTATAA